TGTACTGTACTGTACTGTACTTTGTTTCATATTTATGTAGTTTAAAAAAAAAAATACATATGGTTCAACACGGATTACCCGTATTTACATTGAACCTTAGGGGAAAATTTTTTTCGGGGTGCAACCAATCCGGGTTGCGACCAGAGTCGCGGAACGAATTAAGTTCATGACCCGAGGTACCACTGTATTATATATCTGTGCCTGTACCAAAGACAGTTGGCAGTTATCTCTTCTTTCGCTTCTTTTTCTTTTTTGTATTTCTTTTCTGATCTTTTCTCTTTTTCTATTCTCTTCTTTTTCTCTGTTTTCTTATATTTGACTCCTTGTTGAAATTTTGTTGAGTTTTAAAGAGAAACAGTGGCCTAGATCAAGAAAGGAGATTCCAGCGTTCTTATGGAATCAGTTTCCTGACTTGACTGACCTTGAAGGGCTGACATTAACTCATTAGCCGCTCAGTCTGCATATTTCTTTTTCTTCGAATGTCTGAATGCATCTCACCCTTTTTGGGGAATCTGATCTAGCAAAAAGAAGGTTCTGTCATGGAAAATCAAGACTTGAAATTTGTGATGTTCAATTCCCTCCCAGGTAGAATTAAAGCACCAAATAAAGTGACTTGTTTCTGGCAAGATACAGTTTCTGCCAACACAAATTAGCCTGATACAGAAAGTCATTCACAGATACTGAAAGACAAGAAATATTTCACCAGATGTGTGGAAATGTTCCCAGGATTACCTGTATTGAAATGGGAGCTCCTCTCCATTGGGGAGATGAGGGATCTCTGGGGGTGTTATGAAGACAGTGTGCTCGCTCTTGTGGGACTCGTCAAGTTCTATAAGGCGGGTATCACCTGTCCTGTCTACATCCATCTGTCCAAAAGGGATAAAAATGTATTATATTTCTTGCTAGGAAGTTAAAAACCCTTCATTCAGTGAGCTTTTGCAAACACTTGCCAGGGTGCAGATTAAGGGACAACATTAAAACCTCTTTTACAAACACCTTTGTCTGGACTTGCTGGTATTATTTGTAATTCTACCACCCCTCCACCTATCTCTTAGAAAGAGAGGAAAATTCTCTGTCTTAGATTACTTTTTAACTAGCAGTAGCAGGTTGTTTTCAACATGTTTCTTTCAAAAGAGATCTCTTCCTGAAAAGACTGCTTTCATGCAGTGTTTCTCAACCTTAGCCACTTTAAGATGTGTGGACTTCAACTCCCAGAATTCCCCAGCCAGTACGTTGAAGTCTACACATCTTAAAGTCGCTAAGGTTGAGAAACACTGGCTTTCATGTAATAGTCTCATGCCTGGAATTACCTTGCAAACATTTTTGCAATTAACTTTTCAGCCTCTCTGCAGAGACAATGGGAAGTTATTATTTTTGTTGGACTCAGATTAGTTTAAATCAAAAAACTTACTTGACCAAATTAGCTGTGTTTGCCAGCAATATACAGGAAATTCTATGTGCCACTTTCTTTGTTAAAAGCATTTTTTTCCCACAGGATCCTATATCAGTGTAGGCTGACTGTCACTAGAAAACATGTTTTCCTGCCAGCATCAAGAAAATGGCACCTAGGGGAGCTGGCCCCCTTTGAGGGGAAGGGGGGAATGTGCTTAATTTTCAAGTCGCTACGTTCATTCCTCTCAGGTGCCTGGTAAGTAGTTTTTATATTTGCAGCAGATACCTCAAGGGTATACTTGCAAAAATAAATGTTACTGTCTTCAAAAGACTGTCACAGCACACAGAAATTTCAAGGACATGTTTTGAGACTAAGAGCAAGCAATGAACATGTTAATGACCTGGACAGATTATAAAATCTGTCGGAAGCAAAACGGCAATGATAATAAACCACATTATATGAATACATTATAAATGCAAGCTATACTGAAGGTACTACATCTCACAGTCCATTCTTCTATTTGTTTTTCCAATGTCTGATGCAAATACCACATCAATCAGAAGCTCAAAAGCTATTAAGGCTTGAAGGAGCATGGTGCTTGTGTCAAGACCATACACAGAAGTAGAAAACCAAAATAATAAAATAGAAGGGACCAAAGAAAAATCTAATTATTCTGAAGTTGGTTAACTTCCCCATCTAGGAACAGAGGATCTGGCAGGGCAACCCCCTTCATGGAGAATTAAAGAAGACCTGGACTCTACGCTGAAGAAGAGATTGTCCTCAGTGGCCTAGGCAGTCCCATCCAATGATATGTTTCTATGATTTATCATGAAGTTAATCTATTCTTGGAAGAAAGGGATGGTAAAAGAAGAGGATCCTTTGTCATCCTGAACAGGAGGTGTCTATTTGGTTCCTCATACTCTTTGCTGAAGCCCTCTATCCAAAAGGCAACTCTCCTGAAGTGAAGGTATCTAGTTAACATTACCAGACCAGGTGGGCATAGCAATCCACATGATTGCTCCATGGTTGGTGAGAGGTGAAGGAGAACGTCACCTTCCATAAAGACAGCTAACTCTCCACTTCAAATGAGTTGTGATCCTGGCAGTAGAGATATGCTGCGTGACTCATTTGCTAGGCTCATGCAGCCTTTGAAGCAACAACCCAAGATATTTACAAAGCTTCTTTTCTAAGACATGCTCACTTTATATGCAACACACAGTACCTAATCCCCAGTCACTTTCTGTTCTTAGGTTATACTTGGGGGACTTTGGCCAGATCTATCCTGTCACTCTTTTCCCTGAGGAAAAAGTAGAAAACATAAGGTTCTGGTGTCTCCCAAATGGAGAGTGATCATGATAATTCATATGCAATCCATATGAAAACAAGGATGAGCAGTCACTTTTTCTCCCTTCCAGAGTAATATGAAACAAAATAACAGAGAGTTTTGCTGATACTTTAAGAATATACTTTATACTTTCAGTTTATACTTTAAAGTTTATACTTCAAAAGCTAACAAGCATTGTGTGGTGTACGTTTCTACAGACAAATTCCTTCCTTACAAATCTATTGGTACTAGATTCTACAAATTGTGCAAAGTGATACAGGGAGTTTTCATTTAGCAACTACTTCATTTAGCGACCGTTCACAGCTACAACAGTGACAAAAAAGTAACTTTGTGACCCATCCTTGCATTTACAACCTTCGCAGGTCTGGAAAGCTGAAGTCAGATCATTGACTTTGCTTGTCGGAAGCCAGCAGTGCAGGTCACAAATGGTGATCACGTGACCTCAGGGATGCTGTGATGGTCATAACTTTGAGGACCTGTCGTAAGTCTCCTCATTCAGCACTGTCATAATTTTGAACAGTCGCTGAACAAATGGTCATTAACTAAGGACTACCTGTACTCCATTTTTCCCTCAAGATGCAAAAACAAAACACAAAAACAAAACACAAATGTTTGGCTTCTCCAATTCTGGGTGGGGCCCTGTGACTTATAAAACGGATGCTGGTGGACTGCGTGTGTCCTGGACAAAAGTTTTCATGTTCCTGATGTAGCACTGCCAGGGTGTTCTGCAGAATTTGCTGGCCTGGTAGAATTTGTGCCATGTTTAAGACCAAAAATGGGTTCCTAATTCTTTTAATTGTTTGGCATTGAAAATAATGTGGAGAAATTGCTGAAGGAACCTCCTCAGCTGCTTTGTGGTTTAACAGATGACGCATTTTTGACATCACTGGTTGTCACCTATACTTCACAGCTCAAACAACTCAGTTTATTAAAAAGTTACAACCCTCACTGAACAATGACAATACATTTTCTCAGGCACTGTGTGGCAGACCCATACTTGCGTAACTTGCATACAGACAACCATCCAATCTGAAGCAGTTTCTCATAAGCAAAAGAAACATGAGAATAATATTAACATAGGAACCAGACCATGCAAGGAACCCCAATGTCTACTTTGCCTTCATATTTATAACAGCAGCACCATTAAAGGCCCCAATAACACACAAGGCTTGAGGTACCTTCACATGCTCTTTCTCTAATGTGATATGTGCCATTATCTGCCAGCAATGTCCCTCTGGATTCTAAGTAGGACAAACAGGCTAGACTTTACGCAAAATAATTAATGGACCAAAATTTACTGCAATCAAGGAGACTACAATGGACTAGATTAATTAATACTGGACCAAGATGTCAGCTATGCTTGACATCTGGATCCAGTATTGTTAGACTTCAGTAGCTACTTTTGGGCAAGTTACAGTAGAGCCTACCATCCTTCCAGGATACTGGCAACATCCTGCAGTACCTTGGCAACTTCCATGGAATTGCCTATTGCAGTTGCTGATTTGCTTGGATCTTCTCTTTCACTGAAGAGCTTACAAGTAGGAGGTAGAGATCTAATCATCCTTCTGTTACCTAACACAATCTTCTAGACTGCTCTGAGTTCAATAGTGTTTTTGTATTCCCTTGCATCATGCTTCAGGGCAGTCTTCCTCTGCCTGGTGTCCTCAGATGTTTCAGTAATATCTCCCTATATCCCTAGCAGACATGCCCAGATTGGGTAAAATGAGAAATGTCCTCTCTTAGACCAGCCAGCTAATTCACTCAAGTGGGGGAGAACAAAAGAAAACAAGTCAAGAACCCTCTAGAACTAGTATGGACAGCGTGTCCTACCTGGTAGCTCAATGAAAACAAGAAAACAGTCATACCTTTAGGAACTGAAGAAGAAAGATAGGTATAAATCAAGTGTTATTCCTTCCTTAACAAGTACCTTTTCCTAGCTAGCCATTTGTAGGAAGTTAGAAGTGGGAGTCACTCAATATTTTATTGAGCTGCCAAAATCTTTGGAGCAACAAGCATAGTGAGATGTGGTGTGATGCACAAGTTTATTCTGCACACTTACTTTATTTACACAGTCATCAAAAAATGCAAGGCTTGCATCTTTATCGCTAACAAAAGAGCATTCTTCAATGAAGCGAATGAACATTTGTGTCTTAGTCATCATAGTATAAAACTTTTGATGTGAACGATCACGGCTTTTTAAGAATCCTGTAAGATTAAAAAAAATAGTAACATTATAGATCCCACTGGCAGAAAAACAAAGGGCAGATATTCTTCAAAAAAAAAAGAAATGAAATTAAACACAACAAATTAATTCACACACTCACTAAGCTGTATACATTTTGATGTTGTGATATAAATTTAGCAATACATTCAAGGAGTGCCAGATTCACAATAATCCATAAATCGTAATTAGCAAATTGAGTATTAAGACTGCTTCAGGGGTTCTTCCCTTTCCTCCATTATCAGCATGTTAATCCAGATTGTCTTAAATTATGTTTTCTTGTTTCATTTATGACTTACTACTCTTAATATCAGATCAGATGCTGGTTCTGGTTTAGTAAACTGTGAGTTAACAATCCAGGAATTTACTGGGAAACCAGGTCACTCAATAGCTCCTTAGAGTCAGTTGATAACTGGAGCAGTATATAAACCCAATAAATAAATCAATAAAATAAATGTTATTTATTTATGGTCAATGGCCAGCAATAAATAAATAAACCCAATAAATAAATCAACAGAATAAATGTTATTTGTTTATTTATTTATGGTCAATGACCAGCAATAAATAACTATACTTTCATAAGGAACATACTGGATATTATTGGCATTTTCACATGTGAGGTTTAAACCCATTTTGTTTTAAATAGGTTGCTAATGTCAATGAAACTTTGGCCAAAATGTCTGTCTGGTTTCTTTTGTAAATCTTCTGTGCACCATTTTAAGGAAGAACACATTTCACTTTTAATCTGAAGTTTGGGTGATAACTTGAAATTATTTATTTATTTATTTATTTATTTATTGGCCACCGAACTCCAGTGGACTCTGGGCAGCATACAAAAGTAGAGAAAAAATAAAAACAGCTAAAAATATTAGCTCAACAGACAGATATTTATGTCTGTCACAGACAAAGCACTTACAACTAGAATTGATGAATTTTAGCCACAAGCAAATTATACAGACTAAGACCGTCAAGATCAGAAGCAATTGTAAAGACTTCAAGAGACGCAACATGAGTTTTGCTGGATGCTTTGTTCATATCACAGGTGTCCAACAGGGGAGACCACAGGGTGGTCAACAGCATCAAAATGGTGCATGTGACTGGAAAATGTAATGTAAGGCACATTAAAAAGGGGCATACAGGCAGTTCTTAACTTAGAACCATTCATTTAACAACCGTTTGAAGTTACGATGGCACTGAAAAAAGTGACTTACAACCGGTCCTTGCACTTATGACCATTGCAGCATCCCCGTGGTCACATGATCAAAATTCAGGCGCTTGGCAACTGGCATATATTACGATTGCAGCGTCCTGGGGTCACATGATTGCCATTTGCGACCTCCCAGGGGGCTTCCGACAAGCAAAGTCAATGAGGGCAGCCAGATTCACTTAACAACCATATGATTCACTTAACAACTGCCCCACTTAGTGATGGAAGTTCCAGTCCCAATTGTGGTTGTAAGTTGAGGACTACCTGTAGTTTTGATCTCCTGGTAGCACCTACCATTTTGACACTACTGACACCACATAACCCCATAGACACCCCTGATATATCGATATGTAAATCATGCTTTCTATTTCAGCCCATGCTCTCTATCTTTAATCAAGCTGCAAACTAGACACAGAACAGCCTCCATATTTACCTTGTAGTTCAAAAAGGGAGCTTGCATCGGTTGCCGTTTCAGAAGGGGCTTGGGTAATAGGTCTTAGATAGGATCTGTAACCTTTTAGGATAGAAGCCATAAAAGTGAGAAAGGCCTCTTGAATTTCCATATCTAATAGATGCAGCTTCGAGCCTGAATGAAAATCATAGTCATTCATAGCCAGTTCCATTAAAGCATCATCTCGTGGTCTTTGCTGCACTGTGGAAAAAAACAAGCGGAAACGCCAAAACATTATTAGTATTGATCACAGCAAGTTCTTTCTCCTCTGCTGGGCTGATTTCATTGCCAGGTTCCTCAACTGACCTCACTGGGTACATTATGCTAGCAGTGAGAAGCCCATCATTCCCCTTCCAAAAAACTGCAGGACAAACTGGTTTGCACCCACAAGGTATAATTCAAAAGCAGAGAATGCTGCCACCAATGAGGTGGGGTTAATTCTGCTTCAACCACAGTCTACATCCAAGGTCCATAAGGACTCTCTAAGCCAGTGCTTCTCAACCTTGGCTATTTCAAGCTGTGTGGACTTCAACTCCCAGAAGTTGAAGTCCACACATCTTCAAGTGGCCAAGGTTGAGAAATACTGCTCTAAGCACTCAACTCTGCTAGCTGGCCAAGTTCTCCATATTATTAAAATTGCTAAAACAACATCATAGAAGGACCACTGCTTCCACATTAATACCGATCACCTCTAGCAACAGAACTCTGAGGCCAAGGAAATGAAGAAGGGAAGCTGAGACCATAGGAGGGAGATTTGACGACTATGTCTCTTCTTACTGTTTTTTGCTCATTCTCTAGAGCTGATTTAAGCATATCCTGCTCAACACAGTGATGAATTGTGGAAAGATACATGCACATATGAAGCCTCTCAGGATGTTTGAAAGACTCAAGTAAACCTGTTTAATGTTAGAGAACCACCATTTCAGTGGAAACAATGATACAAATGGTTTGATATCCCCCTTAAAATGTCCATTTAGGTATGGTTTTGAAATGCAGACATTGGTTATCAAGGTTCAGGTTGGATTCTGAGGGCCGCTCTTGCACATCGTGGGATTTGTATATAACTCCTGAACTACATGGAATTCATTACAGAAATAGAACAAAATGTCATGATTAGTACAGCCAAAAGACCAGGACAAAAATAATAAAGTGCTAAACTAAAGCTAAAGGTTCTTTTAAATAAAGGAAATCAGTAAGACCTTGGCTCCTCTGACCTAGACTTTTTTTTTTAATCTACAAATTGATGTATTTATTATATTTTACCCCATATTTACACTGGCTGGAATTTCCTTTTTTTTCCATGTAGAATGAACTTTATATTTCAGTGTAATTTATCATGCGGCATGTTTTTTGCAGTGTTACACTAAACAGCCCAGTTACCGCACATCTGTTTTTTAAAGACATCTATATTTTGATATCTATATTCTGATTTGATGCCACATTTCAAAAATTAATGACATCAAAAGGAAAAAATGCAATCAATAGCTAAGCAGCAGCCAGATAGAATTTTTTTTTACAATACTGTATTTACATAATATACAATACTAAATAATCACATAAAAGCAGTAAATTGCTTATTAGGAAGTGCACCAATAAACCAAGTGAACACAATAAACACAAACCTTAATTAAAGAAACCACGTATACATAGACATGAACATACATTCATGGGCAGGCATGAGCACATACACCTTTACAGTCTAAAACTGATCCAAGACTGAGTTAACATTGTAGCAGGAGAGATATTAGTCAAAAAATCAGGAGTCTGGTAGCACCTTTTCCAACTATCATGAGTGAAAGTTTGCCCTTTTAATAAAATGTGTTCATCAAAAAAAAGATCCTTCCAGACTCCAGATTTTTTGACCGAGTTAATGTTTAAGGTGGGATCAGCTAAATAATCAGTCTGTTCTCAAGAGTGGGCTAGATGTTACCCTTGTGCCAGGCTCGACTTGCTATCACACAACATTTTGCCATATTACATGTAATGAGGTAATTTTATTTAACAGTAGGAGAGAAACTTAAAATTCCTCCAACCAACTGGGAAAATCACAGGGTTTGGTTGTTGTGGGGAAAATAGGAGGAAGAAGGAGTATTAAGTATGTTCGCTGCCTTGAATTATTTATAAAAATAAGAAAGGTGGGATTAAAAAAAAAATCTAAGGAAAAAAATGCAACAGGAAGAATGTAATGCACAGTACTTCATGCTGGAATCCTGATTAACAGTGCAATGAAGTAAGACATGAGTGGCATTTCCTTAACCACAAGGGCAAATATATACTTTTGGGGGATATTTCAAAATCAATTCTGTAATACTGCCAATGGGAGCATATCAAATCTTATTTTCTTCAATGGTCTACCTGCCTCTTATCTTACTTCCCAGAGGAGATAATAAGATGTGCTAGCAGGTTCTCTTAAGAGCCATGTAAACTGCTCTCTAGCTTCCTCTACAAGCCATATTTTTGTTGATAAACTATATCCTTAGAGCCAAAATGGTCTTAGTGCCCCTTTGCTTACTCATTGGCCAGAGAAAGTAAAAATTCTGCAAAAGACCAAGAGAATGAAGCTTTAGAAGTAGAGCTTGCTTGTATCTAGATTAGAAGTTGAATAGGAAGAATTTATTCTTTTGCTAGTAGCCGGCAATTACTAGCCTAGCTCTTGTTTCTACCCTCTGAAGTCTGGCTTCTAGTCATAAAGCTGAATTTGGAGCACATCTGGGCAGCTGTAAAATTGCTCTATGGAACTTCATTTGCACCAGTTCAAGTAAACTGTAGTTGGAGAAAGGGTTAAGCTGGGCACCATGTTAAAACTGTGCCAATGATATTACTTGAAATAGTTTAGGGACAGCAGGTACCAACCCACAGTAACTATCTATCTGGAATATATTGCTATGAATTCTGTTACGAACAGTGTGCATTATTCTGCCAACAAACAATATTCCACTTCAGTTAAAAAAACTGGCTCTGTTCCGTCTACATTATATAACTCAACATATTTTTCATTATAGTTGAATTTCCCATCATGTAACAGGAGGAATGGATGGTTTTCCAATACTTAATACTGTATGGCACTGAAGCTATGATTATTCCACACTTACACAGGCATGTTTTTAATAAAGTTTAAGCAAAAATACCAATGAGCCAATTCTGATTTTTTTTTACATTTTTCAGCTCATTTAAATGTCCTGTAATAAGCTAGCAGCTTGAAGTTGTCATTTTCAAAGTTTGTTTTCAACTATGTTTTCAACTATTATGCTTTCATAATCTCTTTTGTGTCAAAACCACCTAATTCACCATTTTCTCACATATGTGGCCAAATATTTTCCCATTCCTGGAATATTAAAGATTTTCCTTCAGCTTCTCCTCAACTTAACACATAAGTTCTTTCCTTGCTGTTTTCACAAGCAATATTTTTCAATGTTCAGTTTAAATGTTTCCTGATTCTTCCCCAACCTGACAACCCCAAGATGTGCTGAGGTTATAATTTCCTTAATTCCCATTCAAGTTGTCTGGGAATTATAGGAATTGTGGCCTCCCCAAAATATGAAGGGCACCAGTTTAGGAAGGATAAATGCTTCTAACCTTGTCTTTTGACCTTCCTCCTACATAACTGCAGTTGCAAGCATCATAAAGGAGATCATAAAGGAAATAAAATGAATATACAAAGCAGCCTTATCTTGATTATTCAAAATATTTCTTACAAAATCAAAATATTTGCTTTTCAAATCAAAATATTTCTTACATCAATCTTTCTTAAATCTCTAAGGATTTAAACAAAAGGGTTTTTTTACCTCACCCAGAAATACCAGGGATTGAAAGTGAGGGTCACAGCATGCAAATGAGGTCCTGTGTCACTCAGTGCTACTTCCCCAAAGCACTAATGTTCCCCTTTATAGTGTGAATCTAACTTTTCCACTGCTCCTCCTCAACACTCAAAAGTGTTTCAGCATCTAAAACACAACCACCAACATAGATGGCCTTTTTGGTCTTCTTCCACTTACATGCTGCTAGCTGTTGATATAAGTTATTTAGAGTGTTCATCAGTTTTTTACAAGGTTTCTTTGGCAAGGTCTTCCATGCAATCGTTCTCTTATCACCTGGCCTGGAATCAAAAGAGAAGCATTATGGATTCATGATGTTTCTGAAATACGTGGTCAAATCAGAGCACCACAACTAGAAGTATATCCCCAGCAGAAGTGATTTTGGCTTCAGTATTGTCAGTGGAACTTGCTGCCTGTGGGAATGGTAATCTTCAACTAGACTTTCATCGAATCACAGAATCATAAGACTGGAAGGCACCCTGGAGGTCTCCTAGTCCAGCCTTCCTCCCAGACGGGAAGGAAGTATGTTGCTAATATCTGATTCCTGAAATCTATATGGCACAAATTTGACTACAACATGAATAAAACGAAATATCCACCCCTGCCTTTTCATCTGCATGAAAATCATTTCTATAATCTAGAATGGGGGCTAATTTCTGCTTCAGGCAAGGTTGGTTGGGAGAAGGACCAGGTGTTTTAGAGGTGAGCAGTGAATGAAGAGCCAGAGGTGCTATTCCCCTCCTGGCATCATTATTTAACCAGTCTTCCAATGGCAATGCAGATGGGATGACAAACTACAGCAGGAATGTTCTCTCCCCAATCCGCCTTCAGCTAATATAAATAGAAGGAGAACCAAATATGAATATTTATTCCTTTCTGGATGCACGCATTCTGGCTTTCTAGCTGAAGCTGTTTAATTCATATATTATGTTCAGCTTCTGCAGAAAACTCCTTGAGCTTGCTTGCTTGGCAGATTCATGGGAGGGAGTTCTGTTTTCCTGGAGCGGGTGGCTATTGCTTGGTGCAAATGGTGGGTTCTTTAATTCAGGGACAAGTAACTCATGGCATATTGGTTCTGTCTCGTACCTGGCATCCTATTTGTAATTCTCCAGCACTACCATTCAATGGCAAAATGGCCAAATGTCAGGCTTTCTAAGGGAGTTTGGGGCAATTTTAAGAGTGGGTACAGAAGGACTCTGCTTCCTACAAAAGCATCACCTATCCATCCCCACCCTCAAGGGCTACAAAGGACAGGAAATGCCCTTCCAGTGACATTATGGTTTTACCGGGAAGCCTGCTGCAGTCCTCCGTAAGGTTCAAAAGTCATGCTGTGCTCCCAACCTCCCAAATGTTGCCTAGCTTTGATTAGACTGGAGCACTAAAGATAACCTTTGGACAAAGAGGATATAGACTGCTCACAGCCATCTGAAGGGTTTCAAAGGCTGTCCAATTACTAGCCCAGCTGCCAGTCCTACATTCAGACTGGGACCTATGCTCTGGGTTCATGAAGTGCACAAAAGCTACTCTTTCCTCCCACTTAAAAACAGTTCAGAAACCGAATCCAAACACATGGCCAAATGAATCCATTTCAAAGATTCATTAGTCCCACAAGCTCTATGAAGAATAGTTAAAGGATCCAAGTACATTTAGCCTGCAGAAAAGACAGCTGAGGAGAGATATGATAATAGCCTTCAGATATTTGAAGGGTTGTCGCACAGAGGAGGAATGGACTCATTCTCTATGGCCCCAGAGGGCAGGACCAGAACCAAGGGCGAAAATTACAAGAAAGGAGGCTCAGGAAGAACTTCCTGACCATTCAGAGTCAGCCATTAGAACAGGCTGACACAGGAAATGCTGAGTTCTCCTTTACTAGACAGAGGTCTTCAAACAGAGCCTGGATGGTCATCTGCCAGAAATACTCTAATGAGCACTGCATTGAGTAGAAGGTTGGAGTAGCTGGCCACTAAAATCCTTTCCAACTCTAGGACTCTATGCTTCTATGCCAGAAAACTTTGACTCCTGGAATTCTCAGCATCTTTACTGAATATGATACCCGGGATCCTTTCATGGAAGCTGTATCAGTTATGTATTTACTATAATGCAAATATATTCTTACATTCACTTAGATAATACAAAGATGCAGATGTCCTATTTCCTTGAATAAAGATAGTCTCTTTTCAATTACGGGTGATCCTTGTTTAACAACCACTTGTTCAGCAACGGTTTGAACTTATAACACCGTTGAACAAATGGTAGTTATGACCAGAACCTCATACTTAGCCAACTCAGCATCCCCATGGTCACATGATCATGATTTGTGACCTTCCCTGCCAGCTTCCCACAAGCAAAGTCAATGGGGAAGCCAGCAGGAAGTCAGAAGTTGCGGTTCCATGAGGTCCTCGCTTAACAATCTGTGCAGTTGTATTTAACAATGGCAATCAGGACTGCTGGAACTGCTGTCACTAAGCAGCACGGTCACATGGTTTTTCAACTTATGACCATGTCACTTAACAATGGAGTTTCCAGTCCCAATTAGGGTCGTTAAACGAGGACTACCTGTACTGTACCAAGGTTAACCATGTGTTACGGACCATGACAGAATTTCAAGTTGGGAAGCAATTAAACTTAGAATAAATTACAACTTGTTCACGAAGACGATTTCCTTAACATTACAGACAGACACAACTCCTCTGTAATTTTTCCTTTTGCTAGAGACTGTAATGTCTAGACCATCAAGAACTGTATAAGAATCTCAGTTCTCCTTTTGTATTACATCTTAAGAAACATTATTATTCAATTTTTTTGTTTTAAGAAAGCTTTTTCAAACTACTAAGGATAATGGAAGACTATCTGCTAATTGTTTAAAAGATTAATTTGTTCATGGACTGGCAAAAAGAAATTGCTGAGGCAACCAATATATCCATGTCATTCACTAATGCACTGTTCTTGTAAGGCAAGACAATAAAAGAAAAAAAATAGGATAATAGTGGACATTTATCCCCTGATAACTAAATTCTAGTTCAACATGAAAATCATGAGGTAAAGGGCCAATTATTCTCTCAATCTCTGTTCCCAATTTAAAGCTAATTCTAGTTTATTTTACAACAACATGAAATGGGTTACAAGCACATGCTAAGTGATTATACTCACTAAATGCAATTTGCCTGTGTGGGAGATCTAATATCCATGGATTAAATGCTTATCATCTTCAGAACAATGCTTTTTAGTGGAATCAATTCAGAGGTTCAACTGTAAGTTTTCTAGTGCTGAATAATCAAGTGACATATGCACAAATGTGAATGGATCTTTAATCCCCTTCTCTGGTAAATAATTTAGCAAACATAGGAAAATTAATTTAAAGCCTGCCCCTAAATTATTAACAAAAAACAAGCAAGCAAAGCTCTCCAAATACTTACTGTGAAATGGTGTTTGTATCTAGGTCAACACAGCTAACATCTGGTGGAGGGTCATAGAGATCAAAATATCTGGAATCAATTCCTACTATGAACGGACAGGGTGCACTCAAAACATCAGCCAGGGCTAAAGGGCAGAGAGGAATGTACGGGCATGGCCAGTGGAAAGGAAATATCATCTTTGAAAAGAGAAGAATACAGGCATTGAATACAGATGTGCTTCAAGAAAAACAGGGCGGACAACCTATAGCTCTTGGCCTAATTTCAACCCATCCCAAGAGATAATTTAGACCCTGAGCAAGAATTTTGTGTCCCTGGGAGAGAGAAGGGGTTCTAATGAGGAAAAAGAGGGTCTCAGACTATAAGTATCTCTTCCCCACTTCTAGCTCTTGGCCTTCCTACTACTTGGTTCAGCCCAACCCTGTGGAGTCCTTGTTTGCTTGCAGATGTTTCATTACCCAACTAGGTAGGACTCCACAGTTCAACCCTGAGCTACGCATATTCTCTTCTATCAGTCATCATGAGGACCCCAACATATTATTCCTGGAAAAGGATGTTTTTTGAAAAAAGGCTGCCCACCTCTGAAGAAAAGAGAACTCTCCCAAATTGTGTTTTAGTTCAATATCAGTACATCATTGTGGGAAAACAGCCATTCCTTTCTTTTAAAATATTAATTAGCCAAGTGGATAGATACAACTGGGAAGTTCTCCTCTGCAAACTACTTGGAATAATAATATTAATAATAACCCATGATTGATTGATTAGATTTATACCCGCCCTTTCCATCAACAAATGGTGTTTTATTTATCTCTGTTAACTTGTACAAAAACCTCATGGAGAACCTGTGCCCGAGGATTGTGCTAACAATCTGAACTAGATGAATAATAAGGGACAGATATGCTCCACAGCCCATCTGTACAAACATCCTCAGGAGGTAAAAGCAGAACAAACAAAATATTTAAAACATGACACTCAGCATGAAATAGAGGCCAGGAGGGGCTTCTGCTAGCTCAGTGGAATTTTTGACTCCATTTCTTTGAACAACTGGCCTTCCTACCACTCCACAAATGGTGTTTGAAGCTCCTGCTCAGTTTGACCTGCAGCTGGTAGTTGAGCAAAACACTCTAAAACCCACAAACCCAAGGATTTTGCAAACAGCTGTGGATCCTAGGCAAGGGAGAAAAGACACTAATCCACTCTAGCCCATTTTATATTTAAGATAAGTAATAATAAATTCTGAGAATGAGTTTTAGTGCCCTGAGCTTTAAAAGACATTCTATAGCCAGTTTGTTTGTTTGTTTGTTTGTTTTTTCTGTTTATCTTACTTGGAAAATACTTTTTTGAGAAATGCACCCAACTTACAGAGACCAGGGCTTCTGTTACGCTGGTAAGGACCGAAGGACGTAAAGAGTGGATAAGGATTTTATGTTCAGTCACCGCAAATACAAGGAGGTTTACAGCATTCTCAGGCCCAAGATTCTGCAGAAGAGCAGAAAACTTCCCTCCACTATTATGCAAAGAAAAAGAAACAGGAATAAATACTACACGTGCCATCTTTCTTCCAGGAACCTGAACTACATTTCTCCCCAACGTTAGCCTAGCACTGAATGACTCAGTATAAGAGCTCTTCAATTACTACTATGAGTAACACTGAAATTACACAGCACAGAATAATTAAAAAGCAGTTTTCCATTTGGCGCTCCATTAACCTTTAAATAAAGTTGTAGAGTGAAGTTTGTAATTAACATGCACACATAACAGCCAGAATTGAACTTAGTTCACTGCAAACAGGTCGTTAGTGATAAAACAAACCAGCCCTTCTCACACCATCTGAACCTAGTCTCCTACTTTCTTGCTTTCAACACATAAGGATTCACAAACCAGTAACAAATTTTGATTTACTCCTAGCTTTGATTGACTGGAAAGTCACACCTTCCATTTTTAGTGTGTTTTACCTCCTCGCCTGGAGAAAACAGCAAACTGGAAGCTGTTTTTCGTAACATTTAGTTATTTACTTATTTACTACACTTGCCAAGTGCCCCAATCTTATCGTTCTGGGTGGTGCACCACAAAATGAAATAAACCAGAAACAATAAGGTAAGCATCACGTAGAAATACAACAGAAAGGTACACATATAGAAGAGTACCCGTGTGCCAATTAGCAAGAGGCCAAAACTGGTTGAAAAAAGGCGGTTTTCACAGTCATCCTGAATATGAGAGAGGAGGGTGCCATCTGAGGCTCCGGGCAGAGGCACCCATGGGTGTGTCAGAGGGGTGTCAACAGAGGACCACCGACAATCACAACACAAGCCCTGCCCCCTTGGTGCATGTGTTGTAACAATACCAGCCTGCAGAAACAGCAGAACGTGCACTGCACTGTTGCCCTTTGCACTGGATCCTGCAGACATCTTACACGGAGGCTGCCCAACTCCAGGAGAAACCGTGGAGCAACTGAAAGGAAATTCTGTAGGTGTAAAGGTCCTGCTCTAAAATAGGTATTTTTTACAGGTAGTCCCCAGTTTAAGAGCGAGTTCTGTTCCCAAGGTCTGGCCTTAAGTCAAATTTGTATGTAAGCTGGAACAGTATGATTGTATATTGTGTAATTAACTTGAACTATTGTGTATTTAACTTGAATCATTGTGCATTTAACTCAAATTTTACTACAACAGGCTCCATTCTTAACTATGGATTGTCCGTAAACCAGAAACTACCTGTATATAGACAATTTTTTCATTCTTTTTTCCTCATCACAACATTTAAGAACTAGAGAGGGATTTAATTCTTCTTCCTTCATATATTTATATATTTTTCTTGTTGCCTTCTTCACTGATTTCTAAATTGTTCCGCCCATCCCTCAGATAACAGCACATAACACACACCCACACACACACACATATTTTACTTGCCTCAGTGGTAGAGGTGATGATATGGGCTGACTAAGAATCAGATTATCATGGGGTGATAGCTATAAAACAATAAAAGCATGGTTTTTATATTCACCTGAGGATTTAAATATAAAGCAATCTGTATAGAAAACATATTGCTGTCACAGAATAGTCACTGTTGCTATGGCTTGAACAACATGATGGATAGATCTTTAATGTTAAAAAAAGTGTAAAGATACATTAATGTGAAATAGATATTTTGGTCTGACTCCAGAGCCTCAAGCAGCTTCAAGCAACTTCAAGCAGCACTGGTTTATCACTTGCACGTTCTATCAAACTGATTAAATAATTTATTACAGATGTCCTTTCCCAAAAATCACAGGGAGTGCCCAGAAAAAGATATAAACTGAATATTTTAAAAACTACCAGAGATCTTTTTTTTCATTCACCTCCCACATCACACCCACTGGAGCTTTTTAACTTTAAGAATACAGAATTGATTTTCATCAATTCAGTGAAGGGAAAAACTCCAGCAAGTAGCTTGAATTGTGACATGATTTAAAGTAGCAAAAAGGTATGTACTTTTAGTAGGGCACAGGAAGGCTTGGAAATAGAGTTGAACTCTACATCAAATGCACTTTGGGGTTTGTCTTTCAAAAAGTTGTCCAGAAACATTTGTTAGTGGACAGATTCAAAATGTCAAATTTCTTGGAAATGCAATTTTCTTGAATTAGTATCCAATAGTATAATCTTGTTTTATAGTGATACAATTCTGAAAAAGCCAATTATTTTCATTTACCAGCTGCTCCTATGTCTAGATATATTAAAAAGTAGATAATCTGACAAATAAACAGTCTTCTAACATAAAAAATGTAACTCATACAAATTTCTTGATGACTTCCAGCATCAAGTAGCAAATGTGCAGTTCTAGCCTATATCATTTTTATAATGTCTTTATTCTTCATCTGAACAACGTATGAACAGAAAGGGGTGAATTTACACTTACCTGAACTAAAATCCTTGGTCTTTGTGGAGATGGAAAAGGAACTTTGTGCATAAAATGGGAAATATGCCTAAGGAGGGAATAATCACTTCATCTTTAGAAAAATAAATAAATCCACATTGGTTTATAGAATGCAGGCTAGACTTTTAGGATATCATGCAACATGCTAAGACAGAATTCTTCAGAATCTTGGCTTAATGCTTACAGATAGATGCTGGGCCATCCTTCTAAACGTCCTCCATTTGAAACTAAGCAGAGATATATTTATTTACTTATTTAGGTTCAGATTCAGATGTCCTAAACCGAGTTCCCGGCCAGTTTAAGAGTCTCAGTTGCAGGCAGAGCTGAGAAGGCAAACTGGGCAGCAAGCATCTCCAACGTATTTTTTTTGAATCATAAACAGGAATCTGAATAACTTTGGCCTAACAGTTAGCACAAACACATCACAGTAACATCTATCGTGTGAAAAGAAAACAGGAGGACGCTGCGATAGCCAGCACACAGTTCCTCCATTTTTGCAGCTGAAATACAGACAAGAGATCGTGCTTCTAGGTGCAGGCTTTTTACAACAGCAGTACAATATAAAATGGGTGCATTAAACCTCTGCTAGGCCCAAAACTCTAAAAGGCAACAGCAAAAAAGCCCAATATTTCATTTCCTATCCCTACCAGTGATGCCATCATATCATTGACACACCTATTGAATCCCTGCCTCCCCATCCCCACCCCAGAAGCCCATCCCTACTGCTAAAGCTGCTAGTTTGGATGAAGCCATAACGTATGCATTGCTGCAAACCAGGGAGGGAAGAACAGAATGATCAAATATGAGGGGGGATAGGATTTGGGGTGATGTCGGCCACCCCTGCACCAGTAACAAAGGGCACAGGCTGGCTCGACTGCCCTTTCCACTAAGACAAGAGCCCGCCTGAATGATCAAAGCAGAACACTCAGTCATATGTGGAACACAAAATACCCCACCAACTTACTTCTCAATAGGAAGAACATGTGGACCAGATATTGAATAGCGATACAGAAAAGTAAGAAATTTCTTGAAAGCGTCAAAGAATGGCCAGTGGGACAGAAGGCAGATGCATTTATTAGTCTGAACTGTTTTAGAGCTGGGTATGGTCATAAAACCCAACTGAGATTTCTGTTTTTCGGTGAGATCTTCCTCAGAGTATGTTTCATAGAACTGAATAGCAGCACCATAGACCTGTAAGCGAGAGGACATTTAATTTAAGCCATTTTCTGCAACTGCCAAGTGTTTTCTTTAGGCCTAAACCAAAGGACTTCAAAAGACAGACATTTCTGAGATAGGCTCCGCTTAAATGTAATGCACTTCTGCAGTAAACATGGCAAACATGCTTTTAGGAACTTGGAAAAGTAAGGAGTCAATTAAAGCTCTAACAAAATTCTGCATTAGTCAGCCTAATGGATCACTTCTCAAACAGCAATTGTGAGCTAAAGGTGGATCCCAGTGGGTCACTGATACAAGGCCTTTCCTCCCTCCACTTTCCAGGATTTGGGGCAGAATCCACTGCAGGCTTTTGAATCAGAGAACCACTTCCATCACAAATTAATCTAGAAGAAATTTTCAGCGACAGAGAAAATAGCACCTCCTCACTTCCACCAAGAAAAGCAATTCCATCAGCAAAATATTTCAATTTCAATTTCAATTCCCCCCCTCCTTTTTTTTTTAACTGACAACACATCCTTGTACAGTACTGCTGTACTAGGTTTAATAAACCGGGTTGCCTGATTCCCAAATTGTCATGCTTCAATTTGATTCAAATACCTACTGCCTATACCGGTGCTTCTCAACCTTGGCAACTTTCAGATGGGTGGACTTCAACTCCCAGAATTCCCCACCCAGCAAGGCTGGCTGGGGAATTCTGGGAGT